CCGTGGTCACAACTGAAGACATCCCTAAATAAGCCCAAATGACCATCAGTGATTTAACAGCCCTCAGCATTTTCACAGCAAGTACTGGAGTTTTGTCAGTGGATAATGCTGAATAAATAAATAAATAAATATTTGCATTTATTTTGTATGCATTAAATAACTTTTACAATAGAAAAAAAATGTATCACATATATAATATGTTTAAAAAACATATTTCTTCTTTATAAACCACATGAATCACTTTATAATAACTTTAACAATACATTATGACTTAATAATGCTTAAGAGCAGAACAGAACCCCGGTGTAGCTCATGTTTTATCATCAATATAAAACAAGCACAGTTGCCTGTTGTGTGACGTTGGTACTTTTAATATTCTTTTGGTTGGAAATTGTCCTTTCAAAGCTGCACAACATTATAAGAGCTTCTTCATTTCTGACGAGCGATATTAGCCTTTAGTTGCAGGGTTCGTTTCGGGTGATTAGGTAAGTATTCACTTCATCGAGCGCTCATTTTGTATCTCGATGTTAGTAACTAGTTACTGTTTTGCTGCGTGAGCTCCAATGATTCAGTTCAACGATTCATTGAACAATTCCGTTTGAGACTCAAAAGATTAATTCGGGAATTGCTAGTTTTGATTCTAAACAGTAAACTGAAAACAAGACGTAATTCCTGAAGTATTGTCAGGGTAAATGTTTCTCTGGTCAGTATACTGTAGTTAAAGATTAATGAGTAAAACTGTTCTGGCACAGACAACAGTATTTTAACTGGGGCTCGTGTCTCAGTCACACGAGTCTGGCTCATGAAGTTTATCGTCTTATAGTCCTTTACTGCCACCCACAGAAGCAGATTGGTATTGCAGTATTAATAAACACAAACAAGTGCAGCTGCAAACTTGGTCTAGTATTCCTGTATGATGAACTGTGTATGGTTATAGATATACTTTGTCTTATTTATTTATTTATTTTTAAAGGATAATGCCCTACTAATATACTACTACTATATGTATTATATGTATAAATATATATACTGTTGACAAGCATTGCTAAAATACACTTCTGAATAAATAAAAACAAATCTTTTTTTCCCCCAATGTATTTTTAGGAGTAATAAGGAGGGGTTCATATATTCGTATGTACATGCCTACACATTTCAGGCTGCAAAGCAACAAAATGTGATTTTTTTAAAAGGGGGCGATTCTTTTCTATATCCACTGCAAGCAGTGTTTAATTTACTCCTATTTACGTGCATATTGATATACCATTTACCATTTGATTAAACTATCATTGTTAGTTCAATTAAGTCCAAGTGCCACCAACAGGCCTATTATGTGAAGTGTAAGCAGTTCAAAATCAAGAACATGCAAAGGATTTATTTTATAATTATGCACATACAGTACATCATTTTACTATAGTAATTATTAAATTGGAATTACTCTGTATATAAATGACCCTTTTTTACATTTGAGCCCCTGCCTCCGAGCAACACTCTGCACGTCCCTGGTCACTAACACAATGCTTTATGATCCAGAGGAAATGAGGATTCAGTCAGTTTGTAATGATGAACATGTTTCTGACGGTTCTGCTCTCCTTTAACAGGGAGTCTCATCTCTGAAGAACTGTATTCTGGGTATGAAGATGCTGATGAGCTTCTCTCAGGTTAGAGAGCTGAAGTGCATATTCATTCCACATTCTACAAAAAAAAACCTTTATAATGAATTCACCAAAATAAATAATTGTAACTAGTAATTCCATATTATATTTGATTAACGACTCAATACTAATGAAATGCTGCTGTTTACTTGTATATTAACTGTCTGTTCTCCTTTTTTAGCAAAAGAGTTCAAGACTGCATATTATGATGATGTCACCAATGGCAGTGGCCTAATAGGTTAGTAACCTTCTTAACTGATCACATGATTTATTACCAGATGATGAAAAACTTAATGGTCTCATGACCTGCAACAGTATGTGCTTACATTTCTGCCACAATTCTGCACGCGAAAGATCATATTTTGAGCGCACAAAAGTGCATTTTGCACGCGCGCGATCTGAGTTTGTGGAGAGTTCGAAGTTCCCATGAAAGAGAACTTAATGGTCTCATGACCTGCAACAGTATGGGCTTACATTTCTGCCACAATTCTGCACGCGAAAGATCATATTTTGAGCGCACAAAAGTGCATTTTGCACGCGCGCGATCTGAGTTTGTGGAGAAAATGTTCGTTTCGCAAAGAAAAACGTCTTTCGAGCGCACGGAAATCAATTTTGCATTTAAAAGACGTTTTTGGATGTGTGCAGACCTTCTCTTTTGCGCGTGCAATGTTTCACTAGCGTGCTCACCTGATGCTCCCCACTCTGTGCTCGCAAAATGCCAACAGCTCGCGTGCTCAACACAACCCAGCGTTACAATGTGCCATAATTGCCGTGAATTTACAAGATTCGAACCGCTTCCTGAACCAGTCTGACCAAGCAAAGCGAGGCTTCGGACGTCTCGATACGTGCTTCACTGAAAGCTGCCTGATAACATCACTACTTTAAACTATTATTCTGCCCGTCCGAAATCAATTTTGTGAGGAACCTTTGTGCACAAACACTGCCTGCAAAGTCATTGCCTGATAGAGCAGCGAGTCAACAAGTCAAGCTTTCAGACGCAGCCTTCACTGTTTCCATGTTTACAGTATTAGACATGAGTGCTGTTTAATCAAGTCTCTTATAGGAAAATAGATTCATCAAATAAGATAAAAGATATAAAACACTTTGTCATTCTTGTGATGAGGAGTCGATGAGGAGTATGATGATGTGATGAGTGTGAGTGAAGATGTGAGAAATCTGTTTCGCAAGTTTTAATAACCATTTTGTTATCATTATATCCTGAATTCTTTTTTTATATTTCATTGTATATTTTTTTTCCAGATTTATACTAAATTTTAAATATTCATATAGACACAACATTCACCATAATTAAAGATTTTGTTTTTTTAATAGCAGATTATGATGATGTGGGGGAGCAATCAAACAAAGGGGAGGGGTCTGTATGACTCAATAATCACATGCACTGCCTTGGATCAAGACATTTGAAAGCTCAATTGTTTGAGTAATATTTCTATATGAAATATTTAGCTTTTATGTTATTTGAAACCTTTTTTGTAATGAAACTTTTCTCGTTGCTTTTATTGCATTTTTGTTGTATTGGGTTATGGCCTATTGTTTTTTTATAAAATATTTGTATATTGTATATTTTTTTAAATTACCAAATAAACCAAAGCTAATTCTCTAGTCACGTAACTGTTTTTTTCATTAAAAAAAATACTGAAAAGTAAAAATATAATAAATAACAAATAAATAAATAAATCAGAACAACACATTTATGTGTGCAGTACTTCTATCTTGTGGATGAAATATGTAGTGCAGCTATTTATGGTTCTGAATCTAATAATAGTTAATCTGAATAATTAGACTATTTCACTTTTCATTGTTTATCTTAAATCCAATGATTATTAAAGTTTTTAAGTGTCATCATTACACATTATTTATTCAGACCACTTCTAAAACTATATAAAATTATTTCCTGGATATTGTAAATTGGTATTTCAAAACAAAAACTGAGTGACTAAATAAATGATCGTCGTTATCAAACAACTGGTTCAGATAATGTGCTTCTCAATACTCAAACTGATGCTTTCTTGTTTCATCGCTCCTCAGTTCTTTAGCCTGTGACCTGGAAACTGATCAAATAAATAAATACAATTTAAAAAGTAATGAATAAATCCATAAATGAATCTACAAATAATTGTAAAACAGCAAATATTATTAAGTATTTATATATTTCCTTATATAAGTATAGTGTATGTATATTGTACTTTTTTCATTTATTTATATACTTTTATTTATATATGTATTTACATCAATATTTGTATATTTTCACATTTATTTAAATGGGACAAAAATACTTAGATAAATAATACATAAATGTATAAATAAATAAATAAATACGACTCTTGTCTGCTGGTCTTTACAATAAGAAGTGTTTTACTGCCATCTGCTGGACAAATATTGCTATTATTTTATTATTCTCCAAGGTATACCTATTGAAAGTAGATCATATTTAATTCAATAAAAACAAAAAAACAAACAAACAAAAAAAAAACTAAACAATCACTTTAACGACTATATAGTTTATACTATGGTTTAATCCTATTTTATGGTTTCCTTTGTTAGAATAAAGGAACAAATTAGTAAAATTCACTTACATTAATATTATGCTTAATTTATCTAGAAACAGTGAGATTAAAATGTTAAATGAATTAAGATTAGTCATGAGAAATTGGTTCTAGTAAGTTTGTGTATGTGTTTGAAGTGTTCAGACTTACAGAAGTCAGTCATCAGTGCTTGTATCTGCTGTGTTCAGGTTCAGGTTTTGATGCTGAATATAAGCTGCAGTGTTTCTGTATCAATCTGCTTTAAGTTCAGTGTGACTTTATCTCCACACTGATTTATGACTGACATGAGTCTGTCCTCGGTGAAGTGTCTCTTCACACTGGAGGAGGAGTCCCGCTCATCAGCGCTCACACTTTATTGATATATATGGAGAAAATAAAAATGCTGCTCTCTGATTTGTCACTGATTGTGTTTGATGATTTCCTCTGTTCTGTCTAATAAGGTATCAGTGAGTGTCATTGGCAGCTGTGAGTCTCTCTCTCTCTTTAGGGGGCTGACAGGAGCCAGTTTCTTCAGTGTGTTTGAGGGAGCAGCGGAGAAACTTTGGTGCTAAATTAATTAGTTTTTGGGCAAACAAAGGGATGGAAAGCTGTCTGACACTTATTTTATTGTCTTCGGTGGTTACACTTATCACTGCTAGTAAGTATACTCAGGGACAGATTAAATTCAATATATATATTTTTTACACATTCTATATTGTATTGATTTACATGTGATTATGCAGTTGCATGTTATTCTTATAACTTCTATATGGTTAATATTTTATTGTTGTATGCTCATTTTATGACGTATCCCTCATGGACAGACCGTGTGAATGTGAGACTGGTGAATGGCGACAGTCGCTGTGCTGGTAGAGTAGAAGTTCTTCATGATGGTCAGTGGGGAACAGTGTGTCATTTTTCCTGGGATATGACTGATGCTGCAGTGGTGTGTAGAGAGCTGAGCTGTGGAGAGGCTTTACAAGCACCAGGAAATTCTTACTTTGGACCAGGATCAGGAAAAATCTGGATGGATGGCGTGAAGTGTAAAGGATCAGAGTCTACACTGAAGGACTGTGGATCAAAAGGATGGGGTAAACATAATAACTACTGTGCCGATCATAATAGAGATGCTGGAGTCAGATGCTCAAGTAAGTGATTTCATGCAGCTCATTGTTTAAACACTTATCAACCTTTCTTCTCTTAACACAATATGCAATATACAATAATTGTATACAATTTGTTTCTGAGCTAGTTTTAAACAATGAACAGGAGTAACTGTGAAATTGTAATGCTGAAATGACCCAGGTTTTTATTTGCAATATTCAATTGAAGGATAGACTTAATCACTCACAGTCGTTGTTTGTTTGTAACACAGTCACAGTAAGACAGTTTCACTCACCATGACTCTAATTAAATTGGTTTTATGTATTATGCAAATATGTAGAAACCATAAACTATGGACGATTTACAAGACTTGCTGATGGACCTCACCTGTGCTCCGGGAGGTTAGAGGTGCTTTATGGGAACACATGGTACACAGTGTGTGCTGATGCCTTTGACCAGCAGGATGCAGAGGTTGTGTGTAGAGAGCTGGACTGTGGGGCTCCTGTACAGGTGCTGGGAGCAGCTGCTTTTGGCAAAGGAGACGCTCAGATGTGGACACAAGAGATTCAGTGCAGAGAGGATGAAGCAACCATTCGATTGTGTCCAACTTCAAATGACATAAAGTGCTCTCAAGACAACAATGTGGGACTGATATGTTCTGGTAAAATGTCACTGTTTATTCTGTCAGTAAATAAATCAAATACAACACTTTAATCGCTAAATATACTAAGATCAAATTGTTTTATCAATATTTCCAATGAGCATGTTATGCATTATGAATGGTAATACCATAGTAGATGCCTCTTTCGAAAACTCCAAGCACGTAGACGCATCCGCCATCTTGCAATGGTCAACTTGATGTCATTCACCATAATAATCGATGAATATTCGAAGATGCCACAATCCTGCAAAGCCAAAGGTTGTAAAAAACCGCCAGAATTGAAATTCCCGAAGAAACGGGATAACCTTTCACACATGAGAATGTGAGGGAGGGGCGGAACAATAGATATGTAAGGATTGTGGCATCTTTGAATATTTATTGATCATTATGGTGAATGAAGTCAAGTTGACCCTTCCAGTATGGCGGACGGCTTGAAAATAAACAATCAGTTCTTCCCTCTAAACCACTCTGTTATGTCTTGTTTAAATAAGTTTTAATTTCCTATCCAGGTTACACTGATCTCAGACTGGCCAATGGTCTTGACATCTGTTCTGGTCGAGTCGAGCGTCAGTACTTCAGTAAATGGGGCACAGTGTGTGATGCATGCTGGGAAATGAGAGCTGCCAGTATCCTCTGTAAACAGCTGAATTGTGGGATTGCTGTGTCTGTTGTGGGATCAGACTGGTTTGGAGAGGGAAGTGGTGAAATCTGGGCTGATGTGTTTGATTGTGACGGGAATGAAACAAAACTCTCAGAATGTTCCATCTCTTCATGGAGTCGAGCTGAATGTTCTCATAGACGAGATGTTGGAGTCATCTGCTCTAGTGAGTTCATATTACTGTGAGATTTACTAATATTATGCTTCTGAGAGACTCAATCTTGTACAATATACAATATTTGTTCCCAATAAATTTACATTTCAGACTTTAGATAAATGCTTGTGTGATTTAGGTTTTGAAATTAATTATGTAAAATGTAATAATGATACAAAGCATGTTTATTATGCAAAAGTTCCTCTGTGGTCTTTAACACTTTTGCAATATTTTAGTAAAATGTCAGATCTTTCACTCAGATTCCTCTCTGGCTCTTCATGATGGTCTAGTGCGGTTGTCTGGAGAGAGACAGTGTGAGGGGGAGGTGGAAGTTTTCATTCATCAGGTCTGGAGGAGAGTTCTGCTGGACTCCTGGAGTCTCACTGAATCCTCTGTGGTCTGCAGACAGCTGGGCTGTGGCTCTGTACTCAACTTCTACAGCTCCTCTTCATCCAGTCCTGAACACAGTCATGAGTGTGTGACGGGCTTCCAGTGCTCTGGGAGTGAAGCTCATATGGGGAACTGCAGCTCTCCACAAACTCTCAACTGCAGCTCCACACAACAGCTGTCAATCACCTGCCTTGGTGAGAAGAACAACATCTGGACAGATTTTTCAGTTGTTCGTGATCAATAATGTGTTTCTCTTTCTTATATTTTTTTTTTTAAATGTATTATTTTTAATGTTTGTGTCTGTTTTTATAATGACAGATTTGCCAGTGTTCAGTACTTCTGGTGCATCGAGATCAGTCGCTCCTCCACAAACTCCTCCAACAGGGTCTCTCTCTATCCCTCCAGTGCTTGTGATTGTTCTGGGAGTTGTGCTCTTACTGTTCTTAGTGCCACTGCTTATACTGATTCAGCGAAAGAGAGTGATGAGGAGAGGTAGGAGAGATCCAGAGACTGTCATATTGTGTCTTATTCAGTGTGTGATCAGTCATGTGTTGTGAACTGACAGCAGGTTTGTCTGTCTACACTCACAGCTCTCTCTGACTGGTACACAGAACTACACAGGACACACACTGAGGCCATTTATCACGAGATTCATCACAGACAACATTACTTCACTCAGCAGGGTGAGGCATCATGGAAGAATGTTAAAAGCTTTAACTATTTTACGATTTATGTGTTTAAAAATTCTGAAAACCGTTGCGAGAAAAAGCTATCAAAGTAAATAAAATTTGGGGACTCCAGTCAAATGAGATTAAATGATGGGAGACTTCAGTGATACAGATCTGATCCACTGTAGAATTAAAGCTTTTTCTATCATTCACATCTACCTTGTCAATTTTAATCATACAAAAAGTAACATTTCAATATTTCAATTAAAGTCTCTGAACTGAGAATATCAGATGGGTGCAACTGTTTATCTTTATGTTTGTGTAATCAGATGAATTTGTAGATGAGAGTTTGTCAGACTCCAAACCACAAAGCTGCATGTTTGTGTGTGTGCCAGTGAAAGTTTCTTCCTGTGTGAAATTTTCTCGAGTGATAAGCAGTTTCATATTAGGTGCATTTGAGTTGGAAAAGATAAAGAACTAACTTAGTTCCCCAAACACAATTTATTTTTAAATAAGTTAAAATATGATATGAACGATTGCATCAGCTCTTTGAGTCAATGCAGTTTATTGAAAACTTCTGACTGTTCAACAGTTGCTATAAAAAAGGCCAGCCACATAAAATGAGTTTAAACTGCACTGACAGATGCCAACCAACGTAACAGGCACACTTGTCAGGTTTTGTTGGATCACTGAGTCTCCCTGTCAGTGTCTGTTGCCATTAGTTTTCATTGTTTCCATGGACTGAATATGATC